ACAAATTATATTGCCACTCAGACGAGAAAAAAATATGAGCTAAACTCTAAGCAGTTTCTAAGGCAAACACAATCTTACATGCCTTTCTAGGGCGACAGACTATTTCCCAGAAATTTCCACATCGGGAAAATACCAGGTTTTCCTAATTACTTTCCATGTTTCCCCGGACTATAACGACAATATAGCACTGACTGACTCATCCCTCATCACAAGCACCGACCAGATCCCTCTCTCAGACACCTGACATTAACCACCCTTTGATTTCACATCGCTATCTACTGCCAGTTCTTCACGTCTAGTACTAACCAGCCACGCAACTGCACCAGCACCACTTACACCTTCGATTACCATTTGAATATAATCGTTATATACTAAGATTCAAGCAGTTATGATACCGGAAGCAGGCTCACATTGCTATCACCGACTGGCTCATCGCTTCTGATGCACGAGTAATAAACAAACAGTAGGCACGCAACCATCAGAATGATTTCGAAGAATGAACCTAATATCAAACGTCGGGAATTGTTTAAATCGACCGTGAATAAATCGCGCGCAATCGGCAGGGCGTCACCTCGGCCGACAGGGCCGCGTGAACACGCGATGTGTCATCACAGGCTCATGATCTCACAGCTTAACATGGCGGACGCGTCCAGACGCACGCGGCCTCGCAACACACCCGACGGAAATTACCGACAATCCCCGATTATTCCCGAACTAACCCCGTCCACGCGCGTGTCATTGACAACGTGTGTGGGGGGGGGGGGGGGGGGGGGGGATAAAGTGTGCGTTTGACAAGAGCATGCCATGGGCTGTTACGCTGTGTGACGTCAGAATGATATTAAATGCCATAATGATTCATCATCTACTAATAAAGGAAATACTAATATTTTCGGGACGCGGGATTTGCCGATTTTAGTTATCTGGGAATCTGGGAACCTGGAGGAAATACATGACGTGATTTCGCGATACGAAAATAGAAGTCAACCGACATGCGTGAAAACCTATGAGCTGCGATTTCAATTATGAATGAGGAATGGCATAATTGCTGCGTAGGAAGCAAGGAATGGACCCCCTCCCCGGTGCCTCCCAATAATCACACAATGTGAATCTACGTAACACGTGTCTTCCTAGCCTACCTGCACACGAGATTAAAATACAGCGACTACACAGATTGCGCCAGTAGATGCTGATAGTTACATACCTACGATCAAGAGCTAATAAATACCTCTTATTTATTAGCTCTTGATATGACGTAGTATATACGAATAGCATAACATGTCTAAGATGTGCTCGATGTATAGAACTAGGAATCGCGTGTGCACGCATCTGCATGTGCGTGCGTGTACGCCCGTCCATTGGCTCCCTTTAAATGTCTTCACAATAACCATTTTTCTTATTTATCGCAATTTGCAATTCTGATCATGTATGTTAATGTTAATTTGAATATAGTTCGATTCAAACGCTTACTACTCCGTCGAAGTGCTTTTTGTAATTATTCTCTAGAATATATCGTCCAGGTCTACATATATTATCAATTTTTATACAAAAAATATGCAGAGAATAAATTTCGTCTTCAGGGCATTTACGTATTAAAATGGCATTTGTGGTCACTGGAGAAAAAAGAAAGAAATGCAACTGGGTTCCCACCCAATAGGTATGGCTATGGCATTTGTATAGAGCGAAAGAAACTGAGACTGAGAACGAGAGAGAGAGAGAGAAAGCAAGTGAATGAGAGCAGGGGAGAGAGAAAGAGAGCGAGTGACAGGGAGAGACAGATGGGGAGAGACACAGAGAGGGGGAGAGCGAGCAAGAGAGCGCGTGAGCGAGTGACAGAGACAGAGAGAGAGAGAGAGAGAGAGAGAGAGAGAGAGAGATGAAGAGAGAGAGAGAGAGAGAGAGAGAGAGAGAGAGAGAGAGAAAGAGAGATAGGTGGGAGGGAGAGAGAGAGAAAGAGTGAAGGAGAGGGAACTAAAATCTTGCCTAAGTGGCTATATAATTTCACTGTGTCATCCACACTTCACTAACACTCCGCTACAATCAACAAGCCATCAGAACGCGCTGTCACTACGGCGTGCCTCGTGAATAGCGGTGTCGGATTTTTTTATTTAAAAAAAATCATGCCAATTTCGGCACACATTCGCGCCGAGGAAAATGACTCACGGCTGCCGATGGCACAGATTCTGTGCGCGGCGGACGATTCTGGAGCACATTAATGACCTCATCAGCAAGAACAATCAAGTTGGGAGAGACGTGTAGGGTGAGGCGGCCGCGGCGGAGGGGAAGGGGGGGGTGAAGATGAGGGGAAGGGCACAGAAGCACGGCTTTGTTCGCGCCGTACGACAGAATGTAAAGTGCAACGCCGGCCGCCGGAATGAGTCAATGCACAGCCACCACCACTCATGCTTCACAAATCGCAGGAAAAGCGAGTAATTACCATACAGCTGAGATGTATGGATTGCGAGGGAGAACTGTATGCACGTTACCTCTCCGCGGTTTAAAAAATCAATGCTGGCTTCGTGCCAAATCGGCTCTCTGAGTCGAACCGGACACACATGCGGGAAGGCCGAGCCGACCACACCCTACCAACTTGGAACGTAACTAACCACAGATCAGTGTCTGACACTATCGATTAGTGCGTGCCTCTGTCGAACACTTTATTCTTGCTTCTAGTTGAGTTCTAGTTCTCTCTCTCTCT